TATTATTTTTATGTATTTAGAGAGCCACACAATCACGCAACGTATGCGCACCTTGCATAACGCAATGTAGGTGTTATAAATGTACATATAACGTGTATACATTCAGATTCGTGAACGGAGGATACGCCTTATGTACGCAACTCGCAACAGGGTATTTCCGCTCGTCAAATAACAAGTTGTATACATTCAAAGCCCAATCACACGTATTATCCAGTATTCTGCGGACCACTTCGTATTTTGACAATCCGAACGGATATAAAGCGCGTTCGTACCGAGAGATTCGGATGGGTATATTCAAGTTTGATAATTATGTCATTTGAGATAACGCTTTAATTTATAACATCATTTCACTTCAACTTGATAATGTGACAGGAATTAAAATAACAAGTTAATTTAAACACGTCTTATCTTAAAATTAATTCAAAGATTCTATTTAAAGTTTACTAGAAATCTAAAGTCTTTCATTATCTAATACAGAATAAAAGTGTGATATTTTAATATTCTTTACTTTAAACATTAATTAATTTTCAGAATTAAACTTCGTCTTGTCTATACAGTAAACCCACGTATAGAATAACTTTTTTTTATTTCTTTAGATCACTCACTACTAGTATATAGGTGTGCATGTGCATGTACAGTGCACCTCTCAAATTTTCAATCCGCGCTCTCTAAGGCACGTCCAAATGATAGACCCGGACTACAAGAGGAACGATGACAGATCCAGATCGTTATCGATGTCGGGATATATCCATCCATCGATGGATCAACCGTCGATAGCCGGCGGAAACGGCGGACCATTCACACGGGGAATGAGGAGTATCGCGAGAGCGCGTTCGCATACGTGTGTATCGGTGCGCACGATTCATGGGGGGATGTAATAGACGATGTAATCGGCATCCTACGCGTGTAGCACCGTGTGTACATACAACGGATTGTCTAATGCGGGACATGTGTTAGGTGATCGAATTCTGCTGCGCGAATTTCGCAACGAGGTACGCTCTTTCCCACTATTCTACAGGCGGAAATTTAAGGGAGACAATTCTTTGTCGCGGTTTTCAATTGGAACTAGCGCGATACGCGTGATCGATAAAATTTTAATTCTAATTTTAAAGTCGACCGAGTCGATTAGTAATAAATGCGTAATAAATAATTATTAAAATAAAATGTTTAATATCACTTATTAATTATCGTCATTCTAATGTCAAAAATGAAGCAAATCATATTATACATTTGCACGACACTTTTATAAATCTGAACGTCGGAGCGTTTGGAATAAAATTTTAAAGCAGAAAAGGATCAAATTACGAAAAAAATTGACACCGACGGTTATGTTTTTCGATGTCTCACTAAATTTCTGGATGACAGGTAAGACAGGAAAGTGAACAGCATCATGTAATTTATTTTATAATATTTTATACAAAAAAAACGCAATATGTAATAATCATATAACATATGTATAACATATAATATGTATAACATATGATTATTACTGGCGAAAGACTTACTGACTAAAGATCCTTCACGATTTCCTCTTTGCTTTCATTTGCGTTCTATGATTCTTGCCTAATCTTTGCTTTCCCTTTCCACCTTTTCCTCTTCTGCCTTCTTTCTCTGGTCGTCTATATTCAGAAACATCGGCCGAACTGCTCCTCGTATTCCATTTGCTACGGCGCTTTTTACCTCCATAACCAAATTTGGCAGCCTTCATTTGCATCTTTAACTGGGCCTTCGAATTTATCTTGCGATTTACGAGTGGTTTACCTTGAGGTTTACTTTGTGATTTCTTCTTATCATCCAAGAAATCGAGATCCTTTCGTATACCCTTGCGATATTTTTTAACCTCTTCCATCAATTTTCTTTTCTCTGCGTGTTTCTTTAAAGTTGCCTCGACTTGCATTTGCTTCGCAACCTTCTTCTGTTGTCTTAATTGTCTTACTTTTTCCGATCTTTGCGTCATTACCTGCTTCTTCATCAGATTTTCTCGTACTTTTTGCATGTGCTCGTCAGATTTGGCCATCTCAGCAAAGTAATCATCCGGTCTAGATATCGATATGCCAAGCTTCTTTAATCTATTAATACCTTCCATAACAGCACCCTGAGCTTGACGGTGAAACATGTTCTCTCTACGAAAGTCATTCAGAATAGGATCCTCAGATGGTTTGTATTGAAGTAACTTTCTATTCCCTTGTAGCTGCTTAGCCCGTCTTACTTCTTGCTCTTGCATTTGAAGTGCCAATTCTGGTGCCAATGGTGCAAGTGAATTTACCATATCCAGCCTCTCGATCCATGGCAAGTTCAGCTTTATTTCATCCAATTTTTGCTTCATATGATTCTACAAGTTGTTTACAGGGAAAGTTAGGTTAAATTACAATAAAAGAACTCCAAAATGTACTGTAGTAATTTCTGATAAAAGAATCACTCACGACGTAATTCTTGGATTGCTTGCCACTCGTTTCGACCGCTACATTAAGCCCTGGTTTTAGTAATCCCTTCGCGAAAGCTTCTTGTAGCTGGACACGTGAGTTAAACGAGGTTAGATTAGAATGCGCATGATATAAATGGTAAGCGCACAAGGAAATCGTGATACTCACCTCCTCATCGGATGAATTGTACTCTGAGTCTGATTCTGATGTTTCTGACATTTCGAATAATTTACTATTACCTTTATTTAATTATGATTAATCGGTAAGACGTACTCCTAAACGAGAACAACACGCCAACGTCGCCAACGCCACCCTCCAACTCTACTACGGATTTCGAATTTTCGACGATACTTCTAGCGATATCTGGTGGAGCAATCTGGAAATTTATTCGTAAGATAAAATATCAACAATCAGCAAAAAAGAAAAAGATACTTTCTCTTTTTAATAAAATGTTTACCCATCAAAGACATTGCAATGTAAAAATAGGCGATAAAGAATTATTTTTTATCAAGTTGATATTTGATACAAAGAAAATTTTCTTCTATAGTCAAAAAATAATTTTTGTTCATCAATCGTTTTAACGATAACGTTTTATCTCGAAAATCCTGATTATGTTAATTAAGTTAACAAAATAATTTTTCGCAGTAGGAAAATTTTTGATTATACGATTTGTAATACCCGATATTTAATCTTTTTCAACGTTTAACGTTTCACATGTTCAACAACAAGGGAATTAATACTTTTATTTGCGTTAAAATAAGTTAATCAAAGTATTGTCGAAGTCACGTCGTGTTTTTCTCGCAGACCAGTTTATCAGGAATTAAACTTGCATTACGTGTCTTAATTTCCATTTACGATACAAGTGAGAATAATTTAAAATGGAAACGTTCAGATAAGAAAATAGATAAATTTTATATGTATACTCTCTTTTGACTTTTATATGAATACTCTCGAGACTTTTGTATATATATTCTTGGCACACAATGCAATTATAATTTTCTATTTACTCTCTAATGCAACATATAATATTAAGAAAAATTAAAAACTATACTATTAAAAATGACCGCGTTTGGCAAAATATTTATTTTGCAACTGTTGGAAATTTCCTTTGCTGACAAAATGAAATAAGACTATATTTCTCTAAACTTAAAATTATAAAAAAAAGAAATAAAGTAATAAATATAGTCTTTTGTTAAATCGAAATTCATCAAAATATATAAGATATCTAATCGGACCAACTAAAATAACATAACAACAATGTTATAATTTCGCACTCAACAATATAAACAACACGTAGTGGTATTATATAAATTATACCATTGAATGCGAAATTATAACATATTGACATGTTACTTTTAGTGTCGACTGGATAACTGCCAATACAAATCAATAAATAAAATTAATATAATTCTTGACAATTAAAACGTAAAAAAAGGCTATTGGGAATTAATGCGATATAAGAAGTGGAAGTTTTTTTTCAATATTTTTGGTATTTTAAAAATACAATTAATTCAATCAACATGAAGAAAACTTTCGATCAGTTGTAAAATAAACATTCTATTGAACGCGGCCAAGGAGAACAAGAAAGTCAAAATAATGTCACTAACCGAAACATGACAAAAGAAACGACATAAATTCTGTTAATAATCAGTTAATATAATAACGTCAATTTGACATTATTTTGACTTTCTTATTCTCCTTGGAAACAGTTACGACATTGTTATGTTTTATAAACGCATCCTAAGCGGAACACAATCGCGTGACATTAAAATGGCTCCAAAACTTAAAAATTAAAACTTAAAGTCACTTTTCAATCATTTTAATATTATCATAACATATTTTCGAAGTGACTTATTCTATTTGAGACAGAATTGCGTGTAGAATATTTCCGAAAGAGATGAAAATGAAAAAAAGACGCAAACCTCGCAATGGCGCAAATTCATCATAAAGCAATTCATTATGCATTACATACTTTTGCATTCGACTGTATATAGTAGCCTTGACGAGTCTCAAATTCAGCAGCTACGCGCATTGCAAAAAAAAGCCAGCGATATAAAAGTATTGACCGTACTCTTAATCATTTCGCTAAATACTTGACGATATCAAGACTGTTTAAGATTCACCGAGTCATCGAGAGACCTTCGCGAAAAAGACCGCGGCGTTTCCGAGAGACACACCCGTATACGCGCTCGCGCGCCATATTACTTATGATAAATTCGTATCTACCCCTCATATTCGAGAAAATAAAAGAAATGATAAAGAGAAGATATAAGAGGTCAAGACGAGAAATTGAAGTAAATAATAAAGCGATTACGTTTTAGTTTAGTCTCGCGACGAAGGGGAGATCGATTCCGTTTGATTCCGTAATCGAAATTCTTGTGTTCCCTCCATTTCGTCGTTACGTTTCGGCCATCCTCGGTTATATGCCGATTGAACGAGAGCGGCGACGTAGCGGTGTCCGAGTAGCGCAGAGCAGCGGCAGAGTGACGGACGCCGATTGGCTGACGCAGCTCGCGCCGCCGAGAGACTGGCCAATCGCGGCGCGCGCCACCCGTAGGGCGCAACAGTCCACAACAGTCTCCACGGAAAGCACCGTCTCCTGGGGCGCCTGTCTGACACGCGTTATGTGCTCGATGCCAGGATTTTCGTCGCAGCTGGCCGGATGACAACGACGTAACATCATGGCGGATAACGATAAGAAGCCGATGTCACGTTTAATGAAACTCGCCAACAAGTTCAATTGCTTCTACCTGTCAGGTAAGCGTTACGCGATGGCCCACGCCGCTACATATTATCCCCGGCGACGCGTCTCCCGACCGCGTCAGGAACGAGCGGCAACCGTCGTTTGCGCGGACCATCGAGAATATCGATCTCGCGCTCGTGTGTGTATTTGCCGTTCGTCTTTCGGTAGAAAATAATAGGGTGGAGAAGAAAAAAAAACAAGGATTCCGACACGAATCATGGGAGCGATTATCGACAGGCCGCGCGCGCCTCCGCCACGTCCCCGTCATCGCGTTTTGCGTCGTCGATGACGGACGGCCTATTCCGCGGAATAATTACTTCAAAATCTTAAATTTTTTTGTAACAAGACAGATATACCTAATCGGCTTAATGCTTGTTTTGAGTACGCTCGTTTAGGGAGATCGCCATGTATTGCGGAAACTTTGATTATACTTCCTATAAATGTAGCTACTTAGCTAAGTTTACATTTGAAAAACTTGTATAAAATATAAATATTTCTTATGCTGATTCTCTTTTCCGAACATAATTTTCCAACAGCAATCAATTTTTTTAATAATAATAAATATTCATTCTTATGTTATATATTGACAAAATTACAATAGATGTAGAACAGAAGTTATATTTATATAAATTACGAAAGAATACATTTATTCCTTAGGTTTACATGCAGGAGAATGCAGAGCTTTTGTTGTCGATGGACAGCAAATTGGACTTGTTCGTCCGGATGTGATGAAGGAAATATTAAATCATCCTCAAGTGAGTTTATTTTATTCTTTTTTTATTAATACATTTATATTTTTGTTAAGACATGTATAATGCAATATTAATTTTCAAGGTATTTCAAGTACATCCCGAATATGTGCAATTAAATCCAGCCTTTCGGGATTATGCTGAAAGAAGTGCACGCGTCGATGAAGTATTAAGGGAATGGATGGCTGGTGGGAAGTTTGTAACATTACGAGGCTGGAGAGAGGAATGTTATGAAGTGCGTGCACAATTTAATACGCTACCATTGTTTAAGATGGATCGTTCGGCTACATGTAAGTATAAAAGTCATAACACATAAAAAAGCTTAAGTAATAAATCATAAGCAATCAGGTGAATTGGTCAATTACAATAGAGATGATAAGGCTATAGTTTAAGCAGTAGAAAATTCCTTACTGTTTAAGTTTTTTTTGTGTGCAATGGTTCTAAAAGAAAATGAGATAAATATTATCATAATTACCAGTACCTTATATTTGCTTTTTGAAATGACAGGTCTATTTGGAATTCGGAAATACGGAGTGGATATAAACGGCTATGTAATGGATCCTGTCAAGGGCTTGTCAATATGGTTACAAAAGCGTAGTCCGAATAAACAGACATGGCCGGCATATTGGGATAGTATGGTGAGTGGTGGATTGAGTGTTGGTTATGGTATAAATGAAACCGCGATAAAAGAAGCTGGCGAAGAAGCTGGTATACCGAATCATCTCATTGCTAAGCTTAAGAGCGCTGGCTGCGTATCGTTCTTCTTTGAAAGTGAGAGGGGTCTGTTTCCCAACACGGAATTTGTATATGATCTTGAACTGCCGCCCGACTTTGTACCGAACAATAGTGATGGAGAAGTAGAGACCTTCGAATTACTCCCCGTTAGTGAATGTTTAGAGAGGATACTTTCCCCACATTTCAAAACCACTTCTGTACCAGTTGCCCTTGACTTCTTAATTAGACACGGATACATTACAGCAGAGAACGGTAAGATAGGCTGATCACATATAATTCATTCAAAAATTGTTGAATACAACTTATCGAAAGTGCTGTATAATACTAATTTGTTCATTTGCTTTTGTTACAGAGCCTAACTTTATACAGATTGTGGAGTTACTTCATGTACCTCTGCAAACTATGTACAATCATCGACACAAAGCTAGTAATAGAATGGCTAATGGCGAAGCGATCGATGCTTTAGAAAAAGTTTAAGTTTCGCTAGGCTTTTAATTTATACTGTGCTAATGGCTATGAATTGAATGAAATGAATGATGTTCCTTTTCTATGTTTCTTCATTGGACAAGTATTGAAAAATCTCATATTACATACAGTTGTACACATGTAAGACGTAAAGAGCTTTTTATAATTGATAAAGATCATAATTTATAAAGAGGACTACATGGATTTATAGATAAAACACACTTCTATTGAGTTGGCCATATTTTCTGCATTCATTTTAATTGCGTATATTGAATTAACAACGAAAAAAAAAACAATACGCTTTATTAACTGCATCAATAGTAACACGTTTATGAGACTTTTATAACAAGTTTTTCTCTTGTCTACACAAGTTTGTGATTCATAAAAGAAGGAAGCTACAAGTTTTTATATACAAATCTTTTGTATGACGAAGTATTAATCAATAACATTTATACGTGACTCGTCAAAATTTTAAAAATAATTTCTTCCATCTATATGATTCTTTCGTTTTTTTTCTATAACAAGATAAGTTTTACAAATTATTATGCTATGTTTGAGACATTTTTCAACTTAACCTGCCATTATTTAGCACAATAAAATTATATACCAATTATATTAATATCGTGCTTGTCAACTGAACAGATGCATTGTAATAAAAACAAGTATCGATTAAATGTTGAAATTGACTTACGAAAGTCGAAGCAAAAGTATTATGAACGCAGCATTCCAGATAATAAGTTTATCGATAAGATTGCGTTTAAGAACTGAAAAGTAAAAATTTTTTTTTAAATAATTATATAATTAATATCTTCGTATACACATTAAATCTTGCAACATACAGCTTGAAATTATCAATGCGAGAGTCAGCATAACACTAAGATTGCATTTACAGTATTATAAAAATGAATATATATCGTCTACTTTTTTAATAGATCAAACAAAATTTACAGTCTGATCATGTGCTGACTTTATGTTCAATTGAATTTTATTATCTCGATCAATTTAGCATCTTTACTAGTAATTTTGTAAAGAAGGATTGAAAGCATTTATCTCATTTATCGCTAATGTTTTATGAATTTAATTACATGTTAAGTACTTCCACATTTGAAAATTTAAATACTATTTATATCAATACATCAGTGTACAAGTGAGAAGCACAAAAACATAATTATAATAATCTTTATTCTTAATAGATAATATTTTTAATGGATTTATTTCAAATAAGATTAATATTACTCTCGAAGTTCTTTGGAATGGAATCTCTCATCCAAAAGAATGAAAATTTTAAACCAGTCTTGAAAAAAGAATGGTTCAATCTTTTTAATAGTGAAATGAGACTTCACTTTTCAAAGTGAGATTCACTCTAAAAGTTTTAGAGAGTAAATAATTACGTTGTATTATGTTCTCATTGATATTCGAAGATAAATAGATAATGTTTCAATATTATTACATATGAGTATATCATATATTTTAGCTGTATATAATATTTATTTATATCTTTCATCTCTACTTTTACAATGGCAGTTTATCGAGTTGTATATTGCATTAATACTATATTATCGCTTTATAACGATGAATTGCGAAAATCATCATTGACTATTTGTTATTAACGCCATTCATGTGATATATTTTACATCGTGTTTTTAAAAATTGTTATATATACCTCATAAAAAGAGAGCATACATATATACTTATTCATATAATTGATCTGTTAATATTCGTGTTAAATTCATTATTACAAAATGCATTACGTGTATGAGTATAAAATCCAATATCATGTATTTGTTAAAAATATTAGTTATGATAAAATATATATTAATCTTATAATAAATTATCGCATTTCTGCACAAGAATGAAAACATCTGTACCATGCCAAAAATTACAAGTTTATAAATATCTGGGAATTCTATTCGGGAAATGTATATCATTCAGATATTAAAAATTTTTTATAAAATATAAAATATTCTGTAGAATAACTGAAGTAGTGTAATCTTTGAATTTTTTCGAGAATATAATTTTTCGTAATATATCTCTTGCATATATGCCAATGAATTGACATTGCGATAATTATAGAATTGTTAGTTTAACATGTTTTTGCAGTCAAATCTTATAAGAACTAACCAAACTGCGCGTTGTAGATTTTATAAGTTTAATACTTTTGTAATGACGATAATGTAACAATATACTAGTCACACTCATCTTTATCACTCTTTCTCTCTCTCTCTCTCTCTCTCTCTCTCTCTCTCTCTCTCTCTCTCTCTCTCTCTC